AATCGCTGAAAATCAATGGGCTTCTTCGTCTCATGACCTTAAACACTGTGTATAAATTGAAAGTCAATTGGATATTAACTTTGGCCTCTAGAGCGTCCACAAGATTTTTCAAAGTGATCAAGGGCCATAACTCTGGTAGCAAATATTGGAAATCGCTGAAAATCAATAGGCTTTTTCGTCTCATGACCTTAAACACTGTTAATAAATTTAAAGTCAATCGAATATGACGTTAAACACTGTTAATAAATTTAAAGTCAATCGAATATTAACTTTCGCTTCTAGAGCATCCACAAGATTTTTTGAAGTGATCAAGGGCCATAACTCTGACAGTAATTATCGGAAATCGTTGAAAATCAATAGGTTTCTTCGTCTCATGACCTTAAACATTGTGTATAAATTTAAAGTCAATCGGATATTAACTTTGGCCTTTAGAGCGTCCACAAGATTTTTTGAAGTGATCAAGGGCAACTAAATCGTCCAAGCAATCAACAAGGGTTGTCGCATATTTTTACTTTTTTCGGTAATGAAACTTTTATAATACACTAAAACCTGATTAAGAGCAACAACTCACGAAGGAATTATCAGAAAACTATTAGAATTTGTTTGGTTTTTATAAAGTTCTGCCCCATGCTAACGTTTTGTATGCAAAGCTTTTAATATCATGGATTTAACTGTTCAAGTCATAAAAATTCATTGAAAATCAATATACTTGTTCGTCTCAAGATCTTTAACTCTGTGTATCAATCTGAAGTCAATCGGATGATAACTTTAGCCTTTAAAGCATCCACAAGATTTTTTGAAGTGATCAAGGGCCATATCTCTGGCAGTAATTATCGGAAATCGCTGAAAATCAATGGGCTTCTTCGTCTCATGACCTTAAACACTGTGTATAAATTGAAAGTCAATTGGATATTAACTTTGGCCTCTAGAGCGTCCACAAGATTTTTCAAAGTGATCAAGGGCCATAACTCTGGCAGCAAATATTGGAAATCGCTGAAAATCAATAGGCTTTTTCGTCTCATGACCTTAAACACTGTTAATAAATTTAAAGTCAATCGAATATGACCTTAAACACTGTTAATAAATTTAAAGTCAATCGAATATTAACTTTCGCTTCTAGAGCATCCACAAGATTTTTTGAAGTGATCAAGGGCCATAACTCTGACAGTAATTATCGGAAATCGTTGAAAATCAATAGGTTTCTTCGTCTCATGACCTTAAACATTGTGTATAAATTTAAAGTCAATTTAAACTCAATCGGATATTAACTTTAGCCTCTAGATAATCCACAAGACTTTGCAAAGAGATCAAGGGCCATAATCTCTGGCAGTAATTATCGGAAATCGCTGAAAATCAATGGGTTTCTTCGTCTCATGACCTTAAACATTGTGTATAAATTTAAAGTCAATCGGATATTAACTTTGGCCTTTAGTGCGTCCACAAGATTTTTTGAAGTGATCAAGGGCCATAACTCTGGCAGTAATTATCGGAAATCGTTGAAAATCAATCGGCTTCTTCGTCTCATGACCTCAAACACTGTATATAAATTTAAGGTCAATTGGATATTAACTTTGGCCTCTAGAGCGTCCAAAAGATTTTTCAAAGTGATCAAGGGCCATAACTCTGGCAGTAATTATCGGAAATCGCTGAAAATCAATAGGCTTCTTCATCTCAAAACCTTAAACACTGTGTTTAAATTTAAAGTCAATCAGATATTAACTTTAGCCTCTAGAGCGTCCACAAGCAATTGTGGACGCCGGACCGACAGACGGACGGACGGGGGCGACGACAATATACGACCACATTTCAATCATAGGCGTACGGGCTCGATGACAGTTGGGGGGGGGGGGGAAGGCAGGAACCCGAAATGCCCGAAAAAATTTCGGGTTTACAGACAGCGGCGCGGTCTTCCTCGAGAAGAGAAGAATCGGAGCTTACCTTGTGTAGACCCCCCCCCCCCACCCCTCCCCACAAGAAAATTTTGGGATATTTGACGGCTGCAAACACATTTTCCTGCTATTTCAGCCCGTGAACAATCAAGGTCAAAGTGGTCTAATATAGGCTAATTAAGATGGCTGGCTCGGATTCCAATCAAAAGATCAATCGTTTACAGTCCACGGAGACGTGCCCGTTGGGAGAAAATTTTGAAAATTTAACTGCCGCAAACGCGTTTTCCGGCTATTCCAGCCTGTGAATACAGCAACTTCAATTTGGTCCAATATAGCCTGTCTGGCTGACCCGAATTCCAAACAACCAATCAATCGTCGCGGGGTATGGGGGTCTCACCCTCCCGGAGAAATTTTTGAAAATTTAACCACCGCAAATGCGTTTTCTGCTATTCTAGCCCGTGTAAGCAACTCCAAAAGTATCCAATGGTTTTGTAACCGAAATCCCATTCTGAATTCCAACCATCCAATCAGACTGTTGCAGCTGCATTCACAGATAATAATCAATGCCCGAAAAATGTCGCACAAAGTAGAGTGGCTCCAGACAAAATGTTTTAATCCATAGTCAACTCAGTACAAATTCGTGGTATTCAATTAAAATAAGTGTTTTATTAGGGCTCGATGACAGGGAAGCAAAACTAGAAATGCCCAAAAAGAATTTAGGTTTACAGACAGCGGCGCTGGTTTTCTTCGAGAGGCGAAGAAGCGGAGCTGACCTTATATGGACCCCCTAAGAAAATTTTGGAATATTTGACGGCCGTAAACGCGTTTTACTGCTATTCCAGCCCGTAAAATTAGTGTTATATTAGATTTCGGGCACTTTATTTTGCCAAGTAGATGAAATAACAATTTTTTTTCACTTTACCCGTCTGCCCGAAATGTCAGCTTGCCCGAAAGTTAGGGGGGCAGCTGCCCCTCCTCCCTGCCCCCCTGATTTCAATGTGGGCGTATAAAAAGGTGATTTTTCGTACAATCAGGGGCCATAATTCAGGACGTACGATCCGATATGCGCAAATATCGAAAGGAACCAAGATCTTTGGGTTATAAACACGCATTTCAAGTTTATCAAAATCGGATTAAAAGTGTGACCTCTACAGGGTCAACAACCTTGATATACCATATTTTTAAACTATTCGCGTACGAGCGGCGGCTATTTTGTCCGTCAGGTTTAGTCCGATTTTCACGAAATTCGAACTCAACCTTCATTACGGTGTAACGGTGATATACTAATACGGTTTTTTAAATTGGATAGGAATTGTGACCTCTGGAGGGACCACAAGCTCAAATCGCGAATTTTCGTACAATCAGGGGCCATAATTCAGGAAGTTACGATCCGATATGCGCGAATATCGAAAAGAACCAAGATATTTGAGGTTATAAACATGCATTTCAATTTTCAACAAAATCGGATCAAAATTGTGACCTCTAGAGTGTCCACAGGCTAAAAACGCGATGTTTCGTACAATCAGGGGCCATAATCCATGAAGTTATGGTCCGATACATGCCAATATCGAAAGGAACCGAGATCTTAGGGAGATAAAGCTATATTTGAAGTTTCGTTGAAATCGGATAAAGATAGGTTGCCAGGCAACGAAACATACGCCCACAGCAGCTAAATCGTCCGGGCAGTCAACAAGTGTTGTCGCATATTTTTACTTCTTTCGGTAATGAAACATTTATAATACACTCATGAAGTATTTATCAGAAAACCATTAGAATTTGTTTGGTTTTTAATATCATGGATTTAGCTGTTCAAGTCATAAAAATTCATTGAAAATCAATATACTTGTTCGTCTCAAGCTCTTAAACTCTGTGTATCAATCTGAAGTCAATCGGATGATAACTTTAGCCTCTAGAGTGTCACAAGATTTTTCAAAGTGATCAAGGGCCATAACTGTGACAGTAATTATCGAAAATCACTGAAAATTAATAGACTTCATCTTATGACCTTAAACACTGTGTATAAATTTAAAGTCAATCGGATATTGACTTTAGCCTCTAGAGCGACCACAAGATTTTTCAAAGTGATCAAGGGCCATAACTCTGGCAGTAATTATCTGAAATCGCTGAAAATCAATAGACTTCTTCGTCTTATGACCTTAAACACTGTGTATAAATTTAAAGTCAATCGGATATTAACTTTGGCCTTTAGAGCGTCCACAAGATTTTTTGAAGTGATCAAGGGCCATAACTCTGGCAGTACTTATTGGAAATCGCTGAAAATCAATAGGCTTCTTCGTCTCATGACCTTAAACACTATGTATAAATTTAACGTCAATTGGAAATTAACTTTGATCTCTAGAGCGTCCACAAGATATTTTGAAGTGATCAAGGGCCATAACTCGGGCAGTAATTATCGGAAATCGCTGAAAATCAATAGGCTTCTTCGCTTCATGACCTTAAACACTGTGTATAAATTTAAAGTCAATCGGATATTAACTTTAGCCTCTAGAGCGGACGCACGCCGGACGGTCGGGGGCGACGACAATATACGACCACATTTCAATGTGGGCGTATAAAAATTGTGACATGTAGTTTCCACAAACAAATTGTGGACGGACGTGTGGACGGACGTACGGACGGACAAAAAGGGGCGACGGCAATATACGTCCACATGAAAATGTGGGCGTATAAAAAACCTATCCCGCTATAATTCTGATTCTAAGCTACACCCTACAGAGTTCATTACATGAGGTATCTTTAGTAAATGCCGAACCAATGTGTTTTGTTAATTTTTTTTGTGGGGTCTTTCGAATGGGATGAAAACCAGAGGTACCGTGTACACATTGGAGTGCACATAAAAGATCCCCTGGCAGTTGGAATTCGATATAAGAGTAGGCCGTAGCGCCGCTGTCCGGGCAGAATTTCCCTTATAGTACACTGTATGGCGTACGCCCGTCTTCATTAGTCCAGTCGGAGCAGAACAGTAGGATGTAAAACTCCATTTCATTTCATTTCTTATTTGTGAGCAGGGTTGTCCCAGTTTTGCTCTAATACTCCACTGGTTACCACGATTTGGTATTCTTTTTGAGACAGCTAAGTTGTACATTACAATCAAAAGACGAAAATATGCCTTTATACACATACATAATTACATAATAAGAACAATTATATCAATAAATATACAGTATAATCCAGTAATTTACGTATAGTAGATCAAAATAAGTTCCGACAAAGTGGGCAGGTAGAGTTCATGCTTGTGCTAAACCACTTGTAAAGGCAAGCAGAGTGGTATTTCTTCTTGCATGTACGGCATTGAAGTTTCGGTAACTGAAATGTTGTCCCATGGAGCACAGAAAAACAAATCATACAATCCTCTACACCATCGAATCTCTTATCGATGTTCTTCTTCCATAACTTAAGTCCTTCTATAATAGTTCCATTCTGGTGCTGGAGAAAAATATTGAGCTGCAACAACCAACGATCCCACTGAGCCTGCGTAGCGCCTACTCTTTTATCACTACTTACAGCTATGACTCCTAGTGGGAAGTTCTCGGGTAATGTGATGGTTACAACTATCTTAACTTCAGCCATGATGTAAGTAGCCACTACTTCACGTGTGGATGGTCTTGGTTTTATTGTAATTCCTTCTAAATCCTCTGAAGATGGTTGAACAGCTGATATTTCGTCCCCACACAGTAGTGGACTTACGTATTTGCTTGTGAATTTATCCACATATAATGATGTCTTTCTATCTAGATCCATCCACCACTGCCGAACCAATGCGGGTGTGGTCTCCAAACATTGGTAAAGGAGACTGTATGCTTGTTGCTGTACATCGACATCACTGGTGTTGAGAGCATTAACAATACTGTTGGAAATAAAATAACTGGTACTGACAGCTGCTAAAGTCCTCTCCGATGGAAGAAGACAAAATATGTGTCGCAAGAGTCCTGCCATTAAGCCATTCTCTTTAAGATATGTTGCATATTTCGCTCGCATTTGGGGATTGGCGGTTTTGAAGATGGTCAATACGAGTTTCCACGCTAGCATATACCCATACACAAATTGAAATTCTTCGGAATGCGGACTGATAATATATTGTTCACCAATTGATAAATTACCGAGAACTAGTTCCATAGCTTGTCTTCCCTTCTTAACTATACCCATTAATACCTTTGGGGGGGATTGGATACAAGACTCTTCAGTTCGGGTTTGTGAACCATCTTCTTTACCAAGTTCTTGATATTGCTTGGCAACTTCACCCATTATCTTCTCCAGTAACGAATAAACCGTTTTCTGAACATCCAACTGTTCACAAAGTAAATAGGGACAGAAATGATTTAAAAATGTTTGAGTGTCTTGTTCAAGTAAGGAATCATCATCTGCATCTAGATAAACAGGAAGTTTGTGTTTCAAAATATGGCATTTGTTACAGTAAGACAAAGACTTTCCCAGTGCAGTAATCATCATTTTAACTACAGCTGAGCAACACCTTCGTCCTGGCAAAGCTATATATACCGGAATTAGCTCTCCGAAGATTGCTTCACTGAAAAATTCTTTCCACTCTGATGACAAACATTCTGGATATTCTGATGCATTATATTTAACTTTTTCGTTTATGCACTTTGAAATCTCTAATAGAAGACGACTAACAGCTGTGGCAAATGCAACAGATGTAACATGGGGATCTTTAACATGTGCACAACTTTTAATTCTATGCACCCAGTCAACAACACAACATAAAACCATATCCCATTCTTTATCTGATATACTTTCAGGAGCTGTTACAATCACAATATTTAAAAACTTTGCAACCTCTATGCTTGACAGTACTTTTCTAATATCATTCAAATCTTCATCAGTTAACACCATAAAGTGATCATCTGCTCCACGCCAATTCCTCACAATCTGAAGTACATTATTAACCAATGATCTGAAAGATGCAAAGATCTCGGGCTGTGAGTTTTTACCCATTGAAGACAAGCATGAAGTAATGACAGCAAGACTTCTGTATCCTAACCATTCATTTGTAGTTGACATAGAAGATATCAGGACCGGTATTTGTATTTCTGCTAGTCTCTGGGCTTTAGAAGAAGGGAAAAAGGGTGCAAGGGTTTGTATAGAATGAACAATTCCACAAGAAAGGTCATTCCATCTCTCCATCATTTCATCAAAATTCAAAGAACAGTATTTGGGAACAAAGGCATCTAGTATGAAAGCTAACAATAATGATTTGAGTTTGCCTTCTTCTTCTGAATCTGTGATGGCCTTTTGTAACAATTGTTTCTTGTCGTAATCTGTTAGTGCCAATTTAACTGCTTGCACTATACCCTCCAAATTCTTTATGTCTGTCAAAAGTTGGCAAGACTTTAGCTTTTCATGAACAAGAAGCGTTTTTGATATTGACAAAGCTTGAAAAACATGAATTAGGTAGTCATTTATGTTAATGCTAAGGTTTGACTCTGAACTCACAATTTTGTCTGAACTTTCTTCAGAAATGGTTACTGACATACCTCCTCGGCGACAGAATAGAACTAGTTGTGCATTTAGAGTTCCTTGGTTTACTAACACAGGTAGGTGGTTTGCACTACTTACTGAAATATGCTGTGGAAGATTTTCTGCAGCTGACAAAACATCACCAGAGATATAAACATAACCCAAGAGGGAGATATATTTTAAGCATTCCTTTTCTCCAAATGGTATATGGAGGAGTTGTAGAAGCAGATGGAGAATTGTTTTGTTAGAAGTTGTATTATATTTTACATTGTTCAATAAAATCTCAACACTTTTCAGTAATCTAATTAATGACTGTCTATTAGTCTCTTTAGCCGAGACAAGTTTCTTGATCAATATACAAGCTTGGTATAAAAATCCATCATCATTTAAATCAGTAACTTCAGATTTGAGAAGTAGAATTAGACCCTTTGACCATGCCCGCTCACAACATTCCAATACTTTTTTTTCTAGGTTATAAAAGGAATCAACACTTATTCTGAACAGTGTCATCATGAGTTCTTCAGAAGCTTTCGGGCACAAAATGTCTTTGAGGTTATCAAAGAATGAACAGGCTGCTCTGGTAACGAATTGTACAACCTGAACTAAGTTACTGTTACTAGCTGTATGGTTCAAGGAGTTCAGTACTTCTCCTATTGCTAAAATAACTGCCTCGACACAATCATTATCATACACAGTCTCCTCCTCGCCGCAAGATGATAAAACAAGAGTAATAACGCTCCACCCTCTTTCAATAAGTTCATTATTATCAGAGTTATCTGTTTTAGTACTTAATACACAGGTTTCCCTGACAAGACCCAAAATCATCTGAGTTACACTTGAACTTCTAAAGATAGTTCCAGCTTTAGGATCAAATTTTCGTTTCTCTGTGAGTTTCTCTATAACAATACAGCGCTGAATAAGACCATTACAGTTTTCAATCAGTTCTGGAAGTAGTACTGAGCAGTCAACTGTTTCAACATTTTCTAAGCATTTGAAAGAAATTGTTACAATATTTTCGGAACTCACATAGGAACGGGAACTGGACTTTAGCCATGGCATGCATGCTACTTTAAAAAATTCAACAAAAATATTTTTATCTTGATTTTCTTCCAAGGACAGGAGTTTTGATAATATATTTTTAGTTATGTATAGATCAAACATGTCTGCAAAAAACGGTAAATATAGTTCCTGTTTGGATTCCACTATCATTTCACTATACACATAAACTAAAATAGAAGCATAGAAGTCAGAAAAACTATCGGACAATGTGTCTGGGTTGACTAACACTGTAACAGGATCTCTTTTATATTTTTGTACACTATTATCAGCAAATCTTAAAGCCTTCTTAGTAGAGAAACTTGGCACCAAAAATCCCTTCATTAAAGCTGAGAGCCTGTCAGTTATTCCATGAGACTGATCTTTTAATAGGGTAAAAAGAAAATCTCTGATCTGATTCCAGAAATATTCTGATAGTCCCTTATCTTTTGAAGACTTATCCAAAGATTTCATAAATGATCCTACACAAGAATACAAAGGTGAAGCAATTGCAGATATTTTCTCTTCAGTCAGTGTGGATTTTAAAAGGTCTAAAATGCACACATCAAGGATATTCTTTGATATCTCTTCTTTCGGATTTTCTACAAGTGTTGTTTGATTTATGGTGTAACGACAACATTCAATATAAGCTTTAATTAGAGCTGAAGATTCAATATTACTTTGTGATACACTTTCCACTTTAAATCCTGTTCTCATGGATGTTAAAAATTCTAGATAAAAAGTACTTTTACCATCAGACTGGTATAAGTTTACTGGAATTTTGCTGAGCAGAGGCATTAAATTTGGGGCTATTGTTGATGCATTACCATGACAACCCCCTTCTAATGATTTCCTCAGTTTAGGCCAAAATGCTTTCTGCAAGGAAATATGCTCCCAACAGACTGGTGAATAATTCACTAAAGATAGAATGGCTTCCCACATAGACCCAACAATTAATGGATTTGAAATATCAAGGTTGTGAAGTACTAGCGGAGTTAGCTTACTACTATAACTATTTGCTACTTCAGGGTACCTTTGGCAAACTACTGCAAGAAATGAATAAAGTCCAGCTTTTACACTAGGTACCACTGATTTTCCATGCTTCCAAAATTTTCCATTTTCAAACAAGCTGATAATTGATGATACTAGTGTTGACAATTTATCTTCTGGTATAGCACTAATAAGTTTTCTACAACCTAATAAAGAAGATGCTACAGTACGGGTATATTTACTTTCCATATCTTCTGAATCAGTTGTTTTTGAATCACTTAAGGACTGTGCGGTTTTATTTACTAGATTGTCCACAAAGTAATTAATTATTTCTTGTCGGTAAATTGTCAGAGCTTCATTCTGTTTCCCACTTGGGAAGGTATTATGGAAAGCTTGATTTGCAGCAGAAGCAACAGTAGGATAGGTATCACACTGGCTTAATATCCAACAACCCATTATTGATTTCAAGTAAGGGGCTATTTCCTTCTTAACTTGACTAGTTATGATTAAAAATGTTTGTTGAACAGCCTCTCGTACTTTGTGATCAGTATCAATAGATAGTCTGTTGTAAAGTCTTGGCCAAAAGGGAAGCATGGATTTAATAACATCTGCATCTTTCTGTTGACAAATTGCTCCCAGTTCCTGCAATGCCTTTATTTTTGTAGTTGTGTCTCTTTTAGATAATTTTCGAAGTAAAAGTCGTACATCAGAGTCTAAAGTGCTATCTACATCATCCAAAATATGGCTTAGAGGAACAAAAGATGGTGACGTTTGGGCACCAAAACCAATAAAGCCAGGAGTTTGGCCAGCCAGTAAACTTGCAGCTTGACTGCTACTTGATGGCTTCAAGTTACCTTTCACACGATTAGATCCTTTCTTACCAGACATCTTTAAATTTTCAATTTACAGGCAACATTGACCTGAAAAGATATAAGATTTCAATATATAAAGATATGTTGCCAGGCAATAAAACATATCCCTAAAATGAAATGCAGTTTAATGTCCTACTGTTCTGCTCACTTGGCTAATGAAGACGGGCATACGTCAATGCAGTGCGCTATGAGGGAAATTTTGCCTACTCTTATATCAAATTCCATCTGCCAAAGGATCTTTTACGTACATGCCAATTGGTACACAGGACGTGAGTCACCTTGGTTTTTTGTCCCATCCGAATGACTAGACAGCTGTCCTTGTTAGGCCATCCGTCCTGCACCGCTGACAAGGGGAAACCATGCCGGAAAGTCCTGATGAACTCACATCCCTACAGCAGCTAAGTTGTTCCAGCAGTCCACAAATGTTATCACATATTTATTCTCTTGATGGTAATGGGAGCCTTTGCAAGAGGCTAAAAGTCAGTAACAACCTATCAGAAATAATTAAAATTTGATTGACTGCTACATGTAGTTCTTTCTAGTGCTCACAAGCCAACAGTGAGGCTGATTTGCCATGGCTGAATTCCAAAATACATAGTTCACACATTAACTAATTGCATATTTCTCTTTATATAAAGCAATTAAGCAACCAGCAATCAAACTGCTTATCTATACTTACATGTAGCTTTGGCAGAAAGATTCATGATCGAACTTAGTCAAGGTCATGATGAATAGTGAAGTATCATCACTAGATACATGTACCTTGACCAGAAGAGAAGTTATCGTGTCTGAAAGCATTGACCAAGCAAAATTACCAAGATTGAACATTCTACCTCAATTAAAAACACAGTTATTGTGTTCCAGAGTCTTGACCAATCAAATCCATTATCACTACTTGGTCAAGGCAGAAAATTGTCATTGTCGAACTTAATCAAGGTATTGATGTAATGAAACTATACTCAAAGTTTCATCACTTTCACATTTATTAGAAAGTCTGAACCATATCACATTGTTTAGCTCTGCTTAGCCTTAGACGAAAATTTTATGACAAGGTAAATACATGTATACCATCGGTCCATAATTTGGCGCTTAAATTTAATACGTACACAGACTTTTATTTCGGAAACTCTGTTAAAATCGGGATGGTGACCATCTGATGCAGGTCACAAAATTTCATGCAAACGATACCAATCGGTTCTTGCGGTCGCACCAGCTCAAAAACATGCGACTGATTTCCTGGTTACGCAAATTGAAATATCGGTTACGTTAACAAATTTCACTAACAAATTTATTCACATTTGATCAATTTTTATACAGGATGACTTTGTGACACAGGTCTAAATTATCTGTATTATAGCACAAACTGCATTCATTCATTCTTGGCATTTCATTTCTCCATCTTACCAGTACTTTGACAGATCAGGTATTTTGACAGCTGCCATAATATTTGAAAGTGTACCTTTGGATTTTCGAACACAAAATGAGAAATGAGTTTGACCATTTAACATGCCAGGTAGATTTCCAAATAATTTACTACACGTGTCCCTTTCAGTTTTCACTATAGCCATGCTGTACGGTAGTACCAATGACCTATATGTATGTCGTCAACTTTGACCCCCTCTGGCATCGCTGTAAACGATTTTACTGTCCTGTCAATTTTAATATTATTTCATGACATCAAACTATTCTGTTTCCTTTTGAGACTTTGTGTATAGAGTGCCGCAGTTAATAAATACTGTTTGTCAATCAGTCGCTACCTATGAGTGAGGCTATCTCATGCTACCAGGGGCGGATCCAGGAATTTTTGCAGTAGGGGGTTTGCGTCATTTTGGCATATATACATACACATTGATCTTTTTAAACAGAGAAATCCAATATCCTGTTCTGCCAATAAAGGATAAAGCACAATTATGACACTTTTCTCATAAAAAAGGTTGCAAATAATTTTATGTTGCTGAGCAGAGGGGCTGGGGGGGGACCCCAGACACCCCCCCAACCCTTCTGGATCTGCACCTGGCTACGTCTACGTACTTGGAAGAATGATTACAAATGACAAGTGTAATATGAAGCACGTATGTAGTCTTTAGTGACCGAAAACAGTATGGTAGCTACCATTCATGGTTTTTGAAGTTCAGATATGATATAAAAACGAAAATCCATTAGTAATGTTTGAAAAAGCTGATTGATAAAAGAATTTTTAAAATATAGGGATTTAGTGAAGTGGAACAATTTTTTCTAATGTTTAAATGGGGATGTACCGTGGGATTAAAGTCATAAACACTGAACCTCAAAATATAATATTAAATATAAATATATATAAATTAGTCAAGTTATTTCTTTTAAAAATACATTCACTGCAAGTGGAAATGAATAATAATAGCACCATTTAAATCTGGATAAAACATGAAAATAGCGCAACCATTTTATGTAACCAATTGGTTACGCAATGGTCATCTGGCGTAATCAAAGAAAATGGTTATGAAGAGCATAAACTCGCAACCATTTTTCTGGTTACACCAAAATTTGAAATTTCGTGGCCTGTGATGGTCCCTTTAAAGTCAATCAGATATTAACTTTAGCCCTTAGCTCGTGGATGCCGGATGGACAGACAGGGTTGATGGCAATATACGAGCACATTTCAAAGTGGGCGTGTAAAAAGGAGAGTCAACATGTTCTAAAGTCTCGCTGCCACGTGGAACGTACAAACTGTAAATCGGACTGCTCCCAATAAGGATGTAATGGTTCAAAAATTCTTGAACCGGTTAACTGGTCGTTAAAAACCCAACCGTAACCAGTTAACCCATAAAAATTTTCTATGAAAATATTTGTTGCATCAAAATAAGACTTGATAATATATTATTAGTATTACAGTTTTTAAGTTAACAGTCAGTTCAAATTCCATTAATTCATTCATTCTTAATGTTTCATTTCTCCAACTTGCGCGTTGACAGGTCACGTATAGACCAGTTGAATTGATTTGAAATCATGTTGATTTAAAAAAAAAAAAAAAGCTTCACTAATACTTCATAAGATTAGTTATGAACTCAATATTTGAAAGCATACCTTTGGATTTTTAAATACAAAATAAGTTTGATTATTCAACAACAGCTAATTCCAAAGGATTTACTACACGTGTTTCTGTCGCAAGCCATGCTGTATCCTATGGTACCAGTGACCCGTATGTCAACTTTGACCCCATCGGCACAGCATCGTGCGCTCGAGTGATAATACATGTATAAACAATTTTACTAAATTATATCCTATCTATTTTAATATTATTTCATCACTTCATACTTGTTTTATTTTGAGACTTTGTTTATGGATTGATGAGGTTAATACTGTAAAACAATTAATTTGTCAGTCAGTTGAGGCAATTAATGCTTGACAGCGAGGGCTAATAACGTAATGTCAAAACTTGGAGTGGGAATTTACAGTCGTTAACTTCCCGAGGCTTATCACAAATGACATGTGCTATTTGAAATAATTATGTGGTCTTAGTGAAAGAAAACAATATTGTGGCTATCATTCCTGGGTTTGAAGGTCAGGTATCATATGAAAACGAATACCGAATAGTAATTTTTTGAACCGGTTCAACAGTGCAACCGAACCGTGACCGGTTAACCGAGTGACCGTAATTGACTCACCGCAACTCTTTATCATATAACATTCTTCGAAACAGATTGAAGCCAATGCCAAACTATCTATACATCCTTGTGAAATGCAACCATACCAATAATATCAACAAACTAAAACTCAACCCAAGCACCTTTTAAAACATCTCAGAACGAATATATTACCAAAACTGTTATCATTGGTAGCCTCATCACAGGTGACAACCTAACAACCACACCTAAAGCCCTCAAAGAACTTCAGAAAGACAGGGCAATAAACATAATACCTGCGGACAAAGAGACGGTAGCTCAGGTCTAGAAATTCATCATATATGGAATCTGCACAAATCCTCCGAATCTTAATTAATAATACTGTCTAAAAAACAAAATTGTGTTTATTGTGTTAATCTAAAACACCAAAATACAACAACAATGATAACAAGCCAACAGTGAGGCTGATGTCCTCCGCCGAAATCCCCAAATAAATATATTAATTAATCGCACATTTATTTTTTCCAAAAGTATCGAGCAATCAAACTACACACTGAGTTTCATCACCCTCTATCAGATAGAATCAAGATTATCTCTTCCCAAAGCATCGACCAATAAAATTGATTAGCTCTGCTTAGCTTTCGCTTGAAATGTTATTCATTGAAATCAGTCAAGACATTCACCTAATGAACATCTACATCAGGTTTAAACATTCTACCTCAATTAAAAGCAGAGTTTTTATGTTCCAAAGTCTTGACCATACAAATTGTTTATCACTCCTTAGCCCAGGCAGAAAATTCGCACAATCGAACTTAGTCAAGGTAATGATATAATGAATCTATATTCAGAGTTTCATCACTCTCACTTCATTATAACCAAAGTTATCGTGCCCTAAAGCATCAACCAATCAGATTGCTTATCTCTGCCTACCGTAAGCAGACAATGTTCATCATCGAACTCCATCAAGGGATTCACCAAATGAATGCCTACACCAAGTTTGAACATTCTACCTCAATTTGAAGGAGAGTTATTGTGTTCCAAAGTCTCAACCAATCAAATTGCTTATCGCTCTGCTTAGGCTGACCTTAAAAATATCTTTGTTTCGCCTAACGCGACCGACTAACTAAAACCACCCCCGACTTAAATTATTTTATTGCACTTTTCCGCGATCTTTTTATTTTATTTTGTGTGTCAACCTGAAATATATCACGAGAGTTATTTCCCTTTACTATGGCTATGGTTTGATTCATTATTGAAACTGGTTGATCAAGACAAAAGCGTCATAGGTGTCGCTTCTCAACAAAATGGTTGCAGACGAAAGCACGTCCATTCCCACGAAATGATTCTGCCTCTATGTCTGTGGGCGTCGTTTTAAACATGACGACGATATTTTCAATATCCGTTTTCGAGAAAAATAAAGGCACAACCCGCACGATCGTTAAAAAC